GCCTGGTGCTGTGCCCGGGGCGCCGCCCGACAAAGGGAGCCGCCTTTCCCACTGTGGGACGGGAAATGCCCATTCCCGTTTTGTCCCGAAAGTCCTTTTGGGATGTCAGGCAAGGTCCTGGGCACACCGTCGATACTTAGCGTGCGCCCGTGACGGCTGGCGTGCGGGTCTGGTCCCCTTGTGGCAGGCTGGGGCTCTGTGCGTGGGTGCGGCACGGCGCATGTGTGCGTGTGTGTGCACGTTTGCACGTGAAAGCGCTGGGGGGGCGCAGAGGCTGCCCTGGGCACAGAGCCCTGGGCCCCCGACTGTCCGTGCCAGGTGTGTCTGGAAGCCCAGGTGGACAGTAAAGAGCCATCTAGTGTCTCGGAGTCGACCGGGTCCTGAATCTGAGCCCCACACAGCCGGGGACTTGCTCTCAGATACTCTTGTGAATGCTCCCCTCTTGTTCCAGAGATATGCAAAGGCCCTGGGGCCTGGGTGCCAAAGACCGCAGTGGTCACAGGGCATCGGGCGACCGGGATGCCCAGTCCTGCCCACGTGTTCTCTTCAGGGACTTTCAGCCCTGCCATGGCCCCGAAAGGCCTTGGTCCTTCTGTCTCTTCCTTGGCCCCCAACCCGCCCCCCCCCAGGACTTCCTGATTTTAGGAGAGCCAGGAGCCAGGAGACTGCACCAGCTTCCCCCCCCCCAGCACCCCAGCCAGCAGCTCTGCACCCCAGGGGGAGGGGAAGGGAGCACCCTGCAGGAGAGCACTTCATTGAGCCGCCCTGCCTTGGGGGGGGGTGGATGGGAGTGGGGCGGGGACGGTGAGGGAAGAGAGGGGTCCTGGGGGGCAGGGGGGGTGGGGAAGGGGAGAGGCAGGGGCTGGATCTCCGCGTGCAGCAGGCGGCAGAGCCAGGCCGCGGGAGCCCCCTCCCCACACTCTTCATTCCAACACTGCCCTCTCCCTGCGGCCCTGCAGAAGGGCTCCTGTCACCCTAAACCGCCTGGACACTCCCGTAAACCAACCCAGGCCCCGCCTGCCCGTGTAAACGGAACTTCAGAGTGGCCGAGCTCGGCCATGAAAAAATCATGAGGCAGCCAAGCCCCGGGCCTGTTTGCAGGAGCAGCGCAGGGGCCTGGGCCCTGGGCGCCGGCCCGGCTGGACCCCGGGGACAGATGCTGGGCCTGGGAGCTTGGAAATCAGGGCCTTGGGCCCCCCGCATGTCCAGGCCAGCAGGAGAGCCTTGCCTTGCCCTGGGGACAGGCCCACGGGGACAGCAGAGGCCCCCACGGGGGCTGGCCAGAGCGGCCGGGCCCCGGGGGCGTGGGGCACACAGTGCCTGGGCACACAGTGGGACAGAGGTGCGGGGAGCGGGGCACAGGAAGCGGGCTGGGCCTTGGGATTTCCTCGTGTGAAGTGATTCCCAGAGACCCGCCGGCCTGCAGGCAAGGGCCCAGCTGGCGCTGCTCAAGCCAGAGCCAGGACGTGGGTCTGGGACAGGTGTGGCCTGGGGAGGCCCCTCCGTCCTGGGCTGCGTCCCAGTTTCCAGGGCTCCAGGCCAGCCGAAGTGGGGAGCCACCCCCTCACCCAGCCTGTACACATGTGGGGCCGGTGCCAGCTCACACCACCAGCGGCAGCGTTGCCCGGGCACCCAGCCTGGTACACGCGCCAGTCACCATGGCAGCACGCCGTGCGCTGGCAGGAGCCCAGGCTGGGCTGCAGCGGCCAAGGCCAGTGGTCTAGATATGTGGGACCGGGAGTCCGGTCCCCGTGGCCACCCCCACCAGGGGCCTGACGGGAGGGGGGAGCCCCGTGGGTGGCCAGGCCTGCCCATTCCCCCCCATCCCAGGGAGGGGACAGTTTCCCAAGAGCTCCAGGGTGGGTGCCAGGGGCCTGGGGGCTTCCTGGCGGCGGCGGACCTCACTCGGAGGCCCAGGAGGCCACGCGTCTGCCCCACCTTGTCTGCTGGAGCTTCGGGGAGCTGAAGCCACCCCCACCTTCGAGGCCCAGCTCCTGCTGACATCTGCAGCCGGCTGCTCCCTGACCTGGGGGTCCGGGGGTGCCACTCGCCCGATGACATCTCAGTGCCTGAGAGGGAAAGGCATCTCTCCTCATGTCACACATTTAAGTTGGCGCATCGGGCAGCCCGACCCCCGTGCTCAGGCCTTGTCCCGTGGTGGCAGGTGACAGCCCAGGGCTCTGGACACACCCCGGGTACACCCCCATCCCCCAGGAGGCCAGGCTCAGAGGTAAGTGGGCTCAGGTGACTTTGGGTGCCCCCGAGGGCTTCCTGGGCAGGCTGCAGGCCTCGGTGCCTGCCGAGGGTGGCTGTGTGGACCCCCGTGGCAGGGGCGCATGTGCCCGCGAGAGGAGAGCTCCCTGCTGCCTGAAGACACAGCCCTGAATCGGATTCCCTTGTGCTGTGCCGGGCCCTGCCCTGACCACCCTGCTGGGCGGCCGTGCGTGGGCTGTGAGGCTGGGATCCAGGGAAGCATCTGCAGGGCCAGCGCCGGCCCGGCCCGGACCGCGGCGAAGTGTGCCCCGCCCCGTACGTGTGCACCCATGCACGCGCGCCCGCGCTGCCGGGCACCCGGCCTCCCCCTGCAGAGGCTCAGTGCGTCACACGGGAACCAGACCCTCCCTCCCAAACATCGCGGTGCCTACTGTGCGCCAGGGCCGTGCGGGGGATCCGGGAAGGAACCACGCCCCCTGGCAGGCATCTGGGCTCGGGGCTTGGCTCCTGAGAGGGAGTGGGGGGCAATCCGTGCAAACTCCTCCCTCCAAGGAAGCCTGGGCTGGGCGGCCTACCCCTCAGAGTCCCCCTTGGGGCCTGCGGGGTCACCCCTTGGCTCACAGCCCCACCCCGTGCCCACCTGGGGCTCTGGGGCCCCAGAACCGAGAGACCACGGCCTCTTCTGGCTCGGCCACCAAGACGCTGCCTGGAGCCAGGCCCACTTAGCGCCTGGCAGCTGGGCTTCCTCCCACGGGGCACGTGATGCCCGCGAGCACCCTGCCAGCACCAGTCAGGCGCTAATGAGGCCTTCACGCTGATCGGGCATCCCGGGCTCCCTCAGAGCCTGGCTGGGAGTTGGGGTGACCGTGGGCATAGCTGCCCCCCAGGCCCAAGGGCCCATGGATGGGCCAACTGAGCAGTGCCATTGGGCACCTGCTCCACGTGTGTTCCTGCAACCCTTTGGGGTGGCAGGAAGTGAGACCCAGTGAGAAACAGGTGTGGACAGCATCATGGTTCCTACTCCCCAACCAGGGACGCTTCCCTGGCATCGGGGCCGAGACGTGGAGGACTCAGTGCGGGCGCTCGCTCTGGGGAGGGGGTGCTACCCCACACGCATCTCCCGCACGCAGCCCAGCCAGGCACACTGTGGGCGCCCCACCGACCTGTGTGGGTCGCAGAGATGGACGATGCTGTCAGGGGGCGCCAAGACCAGCCCCGCCGGACCAACCCACAGCGGGCACCAGGCTGTTGTGGGGACTGGTGCCGGGTCTGTCTCCTGGATCCCGCTTGGGCCCCAGGGAGGGGACAGGTCCCTTGGTCTCCAGTGTCTGCCCTGCCCGCCCCCTGGGCCTGGCCCTCGCAGGCGGCTGGACCCCCACGGCCCCGGGAGGGCTGGCGTGCTGCTGCCTGCCGCATCACGGGGCCATGAGGCTGGAAGTGCCCGTGGCCCTGGGCCCATTCCCCAGGGAGGCCTGAGGGTCACACACTTGGATAAGGAAGAGGACACCGAGGCTGGCCCGGGCCCAGGCCGGGCGGCTCTGGTTGCACGAGTTGGCTCCCAGCCCCCGAGGCAGGTGCAGGAGACAGACAGGCGGGGTGCGGCCCAGCAGGGCCCCTGCAGGTCCCCGAAGATGGCCCCCTCGGGCTCAGGGCAGGGGTGTCACCCAGGGGTCCCGGGGACTGGGGTCGGGGGCGGCCAGCTTCCCGCCTCTCCAAGGCTGGGGCCCACCTGCCCGCTGACAGGCCTTTGCCCCCACACCCCCGGCGGCCAGACCCCATAGAGACCCTGCACGTCAGACCGGTTGCCCAGCAACGCCAACTCAGTCCGGGGTCCCCGGGGCCACGCAGCAAGGCTGGCCCCACCGCAGCTCAGCCAGGGCGCGTGGAGCAGCGCGTGGGCCTCGAGGTGCTCACGCCCAGCGGTCAGCGGCAGGCCGGGTCCTCTGCCCCGGGGTCCCGCTGCCTGCAGGACGGCCCTGCTCCACGCCCGCGCCGCCTCCCCTCCGCGTGGCCCCGAGGCGGACGTCACCGGCTCCATGTCGGGCCAACCGGGCCCCCTCCCGGGCCGACCGACGGGAGTGCGACCGACGGCCTCCCCACGCCGCCCGCACCCTGGCTGGGGTCTGGGCGCCACGAGTGCGGGATGGGGACGCCTGGGCGCGCCTGGCCGCTCGCTGGCACCGACCCCCGCCTGCCATCGCTCCGCCCAGGCCGCCCAGCGGGCTGCGGCCCGGGGGGACGTCGGTGACGCGAGCTCGGGGCTGCCTGCGTTGGGGGGCCTTGCCGGGCTCCTGGCACCAGGAATCAGAGAGGCGGTAACTGGATCTGGCCGAGGATCTGGCGGCCGCTGAGGGTGGAGGGCTGCGATCGGGTTGCGGCCTCACCGCGAGTTTTCCACCAGAAGGAGCTGGGCTGGGGAGTGGGAGCCGCGTCGCCCCGTGGGCTGGACGGCGAGGAGGGGAGAGCCCGCGCGGCCCGGGGCGGGAGGCGGGGCGCAGGGCCGAGCCGAGGGCGTGGGGGCCGCCAGCGCGCACGGGGAGGTGGTCAGGCCGCGCGGAGCTCCCCACCCTGTGCCCCGGCTCCGGCCCGCAGTCCCCGGGTGGCTGAAATCCAAGCTGAGGTAACAAAAGGCAGCCGCGTCCCCAAGCCTGCGCAGCTCGGATCCGCCTCCCACCGCCCTCGCAGCCGCGGCCAGAGGGCGGCAGGTCCATGAGGCCGGCGGGGCCTCCGGGGGACGCGCAGGGAGCCTCCCGGGCCGCTCGGGGGGCGCGGGGCCGGGCCCGAAGATGCCCACCAACGGGCTGCACCAGGTGCTGAAGATCCGGTTCGGCCTCGTCAACGACGCCGGCCGCTACCTGACGGCCGAGAGCTTCGGCTTCAAGGTCAACGCCTCGGCGCCCAGCCTCAAGAGGAAGCAGATGTGGGTGCTGGAGCCGGACCCGGGCCAGGGCAGCGCCGTGCTGCTCCGCAGCAGCCACCTGGGCCGCTACCTGTCCGCCGAGGAGGACGGGCGCGTGGCCTGCGAGGCCGAGCGGCCGGGCCGCGACTGCCGCTTCCTGGTCCTGCCGCAGCCCGACGGGCGCTGGGTGCTGCGGTCCGAGCCGCACGGCCGCTTCTTCGGCGGCACCGAGGACCGGCTGTCCTGCTTCGCCACGGCCATCTCCCCGGCCGAGCTGTGGACCGTGCACCTGGCCATCCACCCGCAGGCGCACCTGCTGAGCGTGAGCCGCCGGCGCTACGTGCACCTGTGCCCGCGGGAGGACGAGATGGCGGCCGACAGCAACACCCCGTGGGGCGTGGACGCGCTCATCACCCTCATCTTCCAGAACCGCCAGTACTGCCTCAAGTCCTGCGACAGCCGCTACCTGCGCAGCGACGGCCGCCTGGTGTGGGAGCCCGAGGCCAGTGCGCGCTACACGCTCGAGTTCAAGGCGGGCAAGCTGGCCTTCAAGGACTGCGACGGCCGCTACCTGGCGCCCGCGGGGCCCGCCGGCTCGCTCAGGGCGGGGCGCAACACGCGGCCGGGCAAGGACGAGCTCTTCGACCTGGAGGAGAGTCACCCGCAGGTGGTGCTGCTGGCCGCCAACCGCCGCTACGTGTCGGTGCGGCAAGGTACCGGGGCCCTGGGTGCGGGGGCGCCCTCGGGGGTCACGGGGCCCGGCGGTGGGGGCAGCGCACGGTGCAGGCGGCTGAGGCGGCGGCTCCGTCTGACGCCCCGAGCCCTGGGCCTGCTGGTCGGACGGCGGCGCCCCGCGGGAGGCGGGCGAGGCCGGGGCGGCCACGGTGGGGGGGGCTGTGCCCCCGCTGCGCTGCCCCCCGCTCCCCTGCTCCATCTTCTGAACTTTACAGGAAAGGGGGGGCGGCGAGCACACTGGCCCTGGGCTGCGGCCCTCAGAGCCCTCCGTGCCTGACCGGTGGGGATCCTCGCCCAACCAGGAGGGACCTTGAGGTCCCTCCAGGCTGGTGGCCTCGCCCGGGGCCTGGCTTCCTGGTGGAAGGCGCAGTCGCTGCCTGGCAGGTGCAGCTCCGCGTCAGCCCCGCCTCGTGTGACCAGGAGCCTCCGTACGTGACCATACGCCCCCGAGGTGAACCTGAGGTCCCAGAGTGGCCCCTAGCTGCCCCCACCTGGGCACACAGACCCGGGAGTGGCCCGGCACTCCCTGACCTGGCCCACGGCCACCGCGAGTCCAGCTGACAGGGGCCCAGCCAGGAGCACGCGGGAGGGGCAGCCCCGCTGCGGGTCTGGGGCCCCCAAGGCCAGTCCTGCAGCGACGGGCATTCAGCGAACACCGCCCGAGCGCCCGTGTGGACCCCGGCCCGGTCCTGGGCCTCGACGGAGACCGTCGGTCCTTGTCCTTCCCGGCCCAGCCGCACTGCGCTCCGGCCTGCGGGAGGCCCCGGGCTTGGCTCGCCGGGAGAGCACGGGTGACCGTGCGATTCGGGGGAGGCGCTGGGCACGCAAGCACTTGTATGGGTTCAGGTGGCGCGTGACGCGGTGGCACTGGCGGGGACGGTGGTGGTGGGTGCTGCCCTGCTCGGACCGTCTCTGCCACGGGCCATTTCCCTGCTAAGGACGCGGCGTGCCTTCTGCCGTAGAGGCGGGGGCACCCACGTTGGCCTGCTCAGCCCTGTGCAATGACCCCGGGGCCTGTGACCTGCCCCCCCATGTTCAGATGTTGCCTTGGCGACGACAGCTGCAGGCCGTGGGCTGGGTCTTGGGGGAGGAGGCAGGCGGAGCTGCAGGCTCTGCGGATCCCAGCAATTTTGCTGGCCAGGCCGCCCCCAAGCCATCTTGCTCCCCACCAGGTGTCTGGGAGCACCCCAGTTCTCCTTTCTCTCCACCCACCACCATTTCTCGCTGCCCCCGTGAACCAGTCGGCTTCTTCCTGCCGCACCCACTGCCAGGCTTCATAGAAGTGGAAGTCTGGGGGTGGTGGGGCCCCAGCTGGACACGGTCGCCAGCTCAGGGCCGATCACGTGACCGAAGCATCACGGCTGCTGACGGGACGGCGGGGATGGCGCTGCCCCAGGCCGGGAGGAGCAGCCTAGGGCACTGGTGGAGGACGGCAGGGCTCACCCCTCCGGCGCAGGCGCAGGCCGCCCTGCCCTCCTGGGGACCCTTGGGTCCCCTTTTCTCCCACTCTGCCATCTGCACACAAGAGCAGGCTGGGGAGGTGACAACGGGCCCGGGAGTGAACCCCAGGCCCCAGCTGTGCCCTGGGCCGTGGGTGGGGGAAGACGGAGCCCGCTGTGCCCACCCAGCGGCTTCGGAGGGGGTTATAGAGGCTGGTGTGGGTCCTGGGGCGCCAGGGCAGCAGCAGGCAGATTACCCGATGATTAGCACAGCGGGGGACTTGCTGGCACCGCGGGGCCTGGCTCCTGGGCTGCGGGGGGTCAGGCCGAGGCCTGCAGGGAACGCAGTGTCGGGGCTGCAGTGTGGCCGCCTGGCCACGGCCGCGGCTCCTGCCTCTGAGGAGCGCCTTCTAGATCTTAACGCCAAAGGGTTTGTTTTTTTAAAGTATTTTATGTATTTATTCGTGAGAGACATGGAGAGAAGCAGGGACCCAGGCAGAGGGAGAGGCAGGTCCATGCAGGGAGTTTCATGCGGGACTTGATCCCGGGACCCCGGGGTCATGTCCTGGGCCAAAGGCACATGCTCAACGGCTGAGCCCCTCCCCCCGGGCGCCCCTTAACTCCAAAGGGCTCTGGAGGAGACCCCTCTGCCGGCAGGTGCCCCAAGAGCCTGCTTTCCCCATCTCCCTGGCCCCCGTCCCCGCCCAGGGAGAGGCGTGAGGGGCTCCGTCTCCTCCCGCAGGGGTCAACGTGTCAGCCAACCAGGACGAAGAGCTGCACCACGAGACCTTCCTGATGCAGATTGACGGCGACACGGGGAAGTGCACCTTCTATTCCAGCACCGGAGGCTACTGGACCCTGGTCGCCCACGGGGGCATCCAGGCCACGGCCACGCAGGTGTGAGTGTCCCCCCCCCCCGAGGACCGCAGCTGCAGTCCAGCCAGGAAAGAACCCCCACTGGGGCGAGGGGGGCTCTGAACGGTGGTGCGCGGTGCGGGCCAGCGGAAGGCTGGGCTCGGTGCTGGACCCGAGGGGGAGAGGAGAGCTTGGCCCTCAGCTCCCGACACCCTGCTGCCCTGAGGGGACCTCACCCTGACCTTCCCAGCTCTGCCAACACCATGTTTGAGGTGGAGTGGCGCGGCCGGCGGGTGGCCCTCAAGGCCAGTAACGGGCGCTACGTGTGCATGAAGAAGAACGGACAGCTGGCGGCCGTCAGTGATTTTGTGGGTGAGCAGTCGCCACGTGTCCTGGGGACCCGGGGCCGGGCCTCTCCCGGGGGACGGCGCCTGCCCACACCCCGCCTCTAAGAGCTGGTCCGTCCGCCGGGCAAGTGCCCCGACCTCGCCGCTGGAGGTAACCGCTCCCGACGGCGAGGAGCCGGAGCCCTGGGCACCTACCGCCGTGTAGGGGCACCCGGGACTTGGGTCACCGGCGGCCGCGGCCCTTTGTGCCCCGGGCCCCACCGCCCACCCTAACCCCGCCGGCGGCCCGACCCCGACCCCCCAGGTGAGGACGAGGAGTTCATCCTCAAGCTCATCAACCGGCCCATCCTCGTGCTCCGGGGCCTCGATGGCTTCGTCTGCCACCGCCGCGGCTCCAACCAGCTGGACACCAACCGCTCGGTCTACGACGTCTTCCACCTGAGCTTCAGCGACGGCGCCTACCAGATCCGAGGTGGGCCCCGGGGCGGCGGGGGAGCGCGGGGGGGGGGCGCCCGGTGCCCCCGCCGACCCGCCCTCGCCCCCAGGCCGCGGCGGCGGGTTCTGGAACACCGGCAGCCACGGCAGCGTGCGCAGCGACGGCGAGCGCCCCGAGGACTTCCTGTTCGAGTTCCGCGGCCGGGGCCGCCTGGCCATCCGCGCCCGGGGCGGCAAGTACCTGCGCGGCGGCGCCTCGGGGCTGCTGCGGGCCGACGCCGACGCGCCCGCGGGGCTCGCGCTCTGGGAGTACTGAGCCTGCGTCGCGGCCTGGCGGCTCCGGGGCCCGCGGGCGGGGTGGCGGCCGCTGGGATCTCGGGGGGCTCCCGGGGCGGCGTCCCAGGCAATGCCCCAAGCACCCGGGGACAGGGCCCCCCCAGCCCTCCGGCCCAGCAAGGGGGCTCCAGGCCTCCCAGTACCCCCCCTCGTTGCCCCACGCAGGTCGGATGCCAGGGCAAGGTCTGCGGCTCCCCAGCCCCCGAGGACCCCCACCCCGGCCGGTGCCTCCTGGGTGAGCTGGGTGACCCAGGACATCAGAGGGGAGAGCCCAGGGGGAGACGCGGACCCCGGGGGTCACGTGCCCTAGAGCCTGAAGGGAGGCGCCCATCCAAGCTGCTCCCCTGGCCCGGGTCCCGAAACCCCCCAGCAGGGGCCTCGGTGGGTCAGTGAGGACTGGGGCGTGCTCGCGGGGCGGGGGTCCAGGCGGATGTGCAGACCACAGCGGGAAGACCCCCCGACCCCCACCCCCCAGCCTGGCCTGCTCCTCACCTCACTGCCCTCCTCCTGCGAGTCCCCAGCGTGCCCCCCTGGGAGGACCCACCCAGAGCCCCGAGGCAGCGGCCAAAGCCACAGCCACAGCCTGTGCTGCCCCCTGCTGGCACCCGGGGTGGGGCTGGGGTCACCTGCTCAGGTCTGGCCGCCCCAGGGTGACAGCCAGTGACCACAGCGTGAGGATCCCATTGGGAGCCCAACCTGCCCCGTTGACCAGTGAGGATCCTGCTGGCGTCCCCAACGCCCCCCGCTGACCAGTGTGAGGATCCTGCTGGGGTCCCCGAACCCCCTGCTGACGCCATGGCGCACCTGCCCAGACACTTGCTGAGGAGAGCACGCGCGGCCGGGCAGGCGAGGCAGGAAGAGGGCCTGGGGGGCTGCAGGAGGGGCCAGCCGGGGGTTCATGGCAGGCTGGGGCCAGGTGAGGGGGCCATGCAGCAGAGGCTGGCGAGGGACACCTGGAGCCGTGGGACGTCCTGTCCCTGATGGGGTGCTGGCAGGGCACTCAGCAGAACTCCCCGCGGATCTGCCACTGTCCTGAGCATCCGGCTGGGCCGAGGCCCGTCCTATGGCCTGTGTCCCACTGGTCCTCACCCCACTACGGTCCCCCCTCGGTTGTGAAGGCTCCACGTGACTCCACTGTACTTCCTGTCACCTGTCAGGCGTCCCTGGGGTTCTCCTTTTCTGGAGACCAGGTGGCAGGCCCTGAATGACGGCCCCACACCTGCCCCGCCCCCCAGCGTGGACTCCATGTGGCCACCCCCACTCTCCTGGCTCTGATGTGGAGCACCCACTGGGAGATGGCTCAGTCCTCCCACACCCTCAAGGCCGGGTGGGCACTTCGGCCCAGCGCTGGGGGACTCCCTACCGGCTCCTACGACCATGGAAAGGCCAACACAAGGTTCACCCAAGTGTACCTGGGGGGCCCAGAAATGCAGCTGAAACTGCCCCACCCCCAATAAAACACACAGCGGAAGCTGAGACAGTTCAACACGAAGAACAGACTTGTCCTGGGGCAGGGGGTGCCTCGCGGCTCCCGCACACACAGGAGAGCACCGTGTCCATGTCTGAGTCCAAAAGGAGGGTCACCCCCCCAGATGCTAAAAGCACCAGCACCAGAGCGGAGCCGCAGCCCAGGCCGAGGGGCCCTGGACACGGCGCACAGTGCGAGGGGCGGGTGCAGCCCCAGCCGGAGGCACCTGTGTGATGTGCTCAAGCCACGGGGAACGTGGTCCCAGCTGGCGACCTCGGCAGCTGCACAGGGGCAGGGTTGAGGTCCCAGAGGGGTGGGGGCAAGACGGTGTGTGCGTGGGTGACTGGGGGCCGGAGTGGTAGGAATGGCCCCGACCACAGAAATGAACCCACCCCAAGTCCCACTCCGACACATTCTGTGGCCCCAGCCCCGTCTCCAGGGCCTGACATCTGGGTGGAGGGGTGTCGCTGAGCCACCCCAGGGCTCCAGTGCCATGACCAGGTTTAGTGGGGAGCCGTGGGCAGCTGCTGAAGGAAGAGGAATGATGCGGGCGGACTGGGCGGGGAGTGAGGGCAGGGCCCCGTGCCCGCGTGGACACCTCCCTGAGTGCCTGCAACCCACGTGCGGCCGGTGCCCTTGTCCTGTGCGGCGGCCAAGCTCAGCTGCCTCCCCCACTCCCCACGGCGACACCAGGGTCAGGAGCCGGGCAGCAGCCGCTCGCGTCCTGGGCTTTCCTCCCCAAGACCACGTGGGCACCGTGGTGGGACGGACGGGCCCCGCGGGCGTCACACCAGGAGGAGGCTGGGACTCCGCAGCTGCCTGTACACTTGCAGGAGCCTCTCGGCAGTGGTGCAGGAGCTGGCTTCGTCCTCCGTGCACAGCCGGTCCCGAAGGGTCCGCACCTCCTGCAGCAGCGCCTGGGGGGGGGCGGGGGACAGCAAGGGCTCGGACCCTACCTTCCTGCCGGGCACCCCTCTGGGGACTCCCATCATGCACAAACCCTATGGGCTGTGGCAGGTGACCCAGGACTGCATGGGACGTGCAGCCAGGCCCCCAAGTCCCCTCAGGACAGAAGCGAACAGCTGGGGTGAGGGGGACCCCCCTCCCCAGGGGACAGAAGGGTCCTAGTGGAGGCGGACAGCCATGAGGAGGAGCGAAGTCCCCTGGCTGAGCACTGGGCAGCCCGCAAGTGCTGGGTGACCCATGACGCCGGTGTGTGAGCCCAGAGAAGCCCGGCTGGGGGCGGTCCCTGCTGGCCAGGCCGCTGGGAGGCCCCGGGGACAGGAGCCGGAGGGGCCTCACCTCGTGGTTGGCGTGGATCTGGCGGAGATACTGCACACGGATGTCAGGCGCGCTGCAGCTCTGGGCAGCCTGCTGCACAACCATCCTCTGGGGGGACAGGGGCAGGGGCTGCAGAGGACGCTTCCCTCCCCTCTGACCTCAGCCCTGCTCCGCCACCTCCGAGGCCCCTGTGCCTCTTCCGCTCCAGCCCTCGCCTGACAGAGAGGTACCTGGCAGTCACCTGCTCCTCAGTCCTGGCTGCTGCTCCCCGCGGGGGCCACCCAAACCGCCCCAGTGGCACATGCACTCGGCATGGCCCCCCTTGGGGCTGCTGCTTGTCCCACATTCTGGGGGAAGCCCAGGCGGCTCCTGGGGGCTCAGATCTGAGCGCCCAGACAGGCTCAGGCGGTGAGGGCCCCGCCAGCCTCTGTGGCTGCCACCCACCTGGCAGGTCCCCGAAACTGAGGAGCCAAGAGAACACGTGCTGGTTCTCACGGGCGCTCCTGTTCCGGGGAGCACGGTGTCCGCTGGCAGAGGAGGGCCCATGGCCTGCGGCCCCCCTCACAGATTCCTGCGGGGGCACCCAGCCTCCCTGTTAGCCGCCAAACCGTGGCCCCCAAATCCACATGCGCAAGGGCAGCCCCAGCAGCTCAGCACGTGACTGCACTGGGACTGCACTTGCCAACGAGGTAGGAGGAGCGCACGCGGTGCGGCCCAAGTCTGAGGGGGAGCAATGAGGACAAGCAGTCAGGACAGACGGAGGACAGCTCTGTCCGCACGTGGCCGTGGGGAGAGGCCTCGGCCCCCACCACTGAACTCCTGTCGCCCGAGGTGGTCACACCTCCCCCCAGCACACGCTCTGGCCACCGTGCCCGGCAGGGTCTGGGATGGGGAGACGTCATCTGAGGCGCCGGCCTTTCTGGGCAGAAGGAATGGGAACCAGTCTGGGGACCGGGTGTCCCTGCTGGGAGAGCCCCGCGGACAGCCCGCAGCGTTGCAACTACAGTCCTGAGCGGCACGCGCCACACTGGGCTCATTGCGGAGCCGCACGGGGTGACCGCAGGGTACACGGGCTCCTGAGTGGCACCCACGCCCTGGGCACACCGGGGGGTCGATACCGGCAGCACTCAGGGCCTTGTCAAAGCCTAAAAGCCTAGACTGCGGGTCCTCCGATTCTCGGGGTCTGGGGCGGGCCTGGGAGTGTGCACGGCCAGTTCCCAGGGGAGGCTGATGGCCGTCCCCGCAGAGTCCTCTGGGGCCAAGGCCACAGGCAGAACCAGCAGCGGGGGGGGGGGGGGGGGGGGGGCGGGGAACGGACTGGCTGGCCATGTGGCTGCTACGCCAGGTGGGGCGCCCAGCGGGGGCCGAGACAGTGGCCCCACTCTCGCTTTCCCGACAGAGATGCGGAGGCTCAGGGTGCAGATGCCTCGGCCTGGGACCCACGCGGGGCACCCGGCCCCGGTGCATGGCCTCTCCGCACAACCTCTGCTTGGCCAGGCAAGGGCAGGGACCCACGGCTAACCATGATGGAGAACGCGCACCGTCCTCTGTCACGGGAGCGCGAGGGCTGCCAGCACAGCAGGGGCAGCTCCTGTTACTGAAGGGCAACCCGCAGAGCTCCCCCACGGCCGCCCCGCTGCCTACAGCTCTCCTGCACGACACGGACACGCAGGAGCAGAGAGGAGGAGGAATGGTCCCGTGACCCCCATGCAGGCAGCCACACCCCTGCGGCCCCGAGTCCCCCCCCACCGCTTCCCCCGACTTCCCAAGCAGGCCCACCTACCTGCAGACGCCCAATGACAGCGTGGTGAGCCCTGCACAGGGTGGCCAGAGAGGAGCTCTCCACTTGGATCTCTACGGCCTGCAAGGGCCCTGCTGCACACACCTGGGTCACGGTCACCTACAACACGAGAGGAGCCTCACCACCCACACCCAGCCCCGTCCCACCCCGAGGGCAGCTCGACCTGCCCCCAAGAGGCCCTGGGGACCTCAGTCCTGTTCCCTCGGAATCTAAACTCATGACCCTCACTGGACGGGGAAGTGACTGTGCCTGCTTCACCGTGGACAGTCCCTGCCTGGACCACCCTGCGGCCCACACTGGGCATCCCGGGTCCCCTGACACCAGGGCCAGGGTTTCAGATGTGAAACAGGGAGCGGGCTGGGTGATCAGTCAGCCACTTGCTCCCCAGAACATCCCAACCCCACAAAGCCAAAGCTAAAACCCTGACAGGGATGGGCCATGGGCCAGGATGTGCAAGGCCCCAGGGGCCTGGGCATTTTAGAAAGACCTAGAACACTTGGCCCT